GTGTTTATTTTTATGGGATGGGGTTGCTAGCCTCATGCCCAACCTTCCCTCTTTACCAGTCTTATTACTGGCTTAGCAAGGTTTAGGAGTGCGTCGACCAGGGATCGAACCCTGAACCATATGCGTGGTTAGCGAGCATTCTACCGCTGTGGCATAGACACACTAATGAAATTTTGCATCAAAATTTTCTCTGGAGTACATATTTCCGGTGGCATTATATTCTTGAACTGCGTAAAAAATTTGCTACATTTTTATCAGAAAATGTTGCTTGATACTGATATCTGAGCAATATAATGATGGATTTAGGGAGGCAGTAAGCTTAAAATTTAAACGTATATTATCGAGTTTCCATGAAATCATGCAGGTGTATTTTAGCCTATTGATTGAATCACCCCAATACCTACCGGACAAAAATGACACCAATTCGAAAAAGCGACAGGCCATATAATATAAATACAACCACCACAAAGAGAAGCATTCAAATTAGAGATTAAGAATCAAGTCAACATATGATATGCAAATGTCAGGACAATGATATACAGTCTAGGAGAAGAGAGAATAATAATTCCAAAGTTAGCTGAAACGTCCAAATTAGTATAAATATTGTGAATAGATCGTTCAGGTGAGATCTTTGCGTTACACTTTTGGTAGCTGTATTTCTTCAACAGCTAACATTACTAACTGTTCTGTCTAAATGGTATCCCTGTGTAGGCAACTGTTTTAACAGCGGTATTTATTCTACACACTTGTGAGTATCTGCAGCTGACAACAAACGCTCGCCAATTGATGGTGATGATTTTCTGTGAAACAGATTACTTTGTCCTAAAAATAAGAATTCCAATGCCAAGTGACCGGTCTGTCTGACTATTTGTTTTCTTAATATCTTAATACAAATGCACGAAATCGAATCAGGTAGGTGACCTGGAACACGCAGACGCACACTCATTTTTCTCACAATTACGTGTCTAGTAATAATAGTCATAATAAAATCACCATAAAATTGGCAATTGGAATAACTTTTTGCATTTACACACAACAAACAGACAAAGAGACACGATAAACATGTCAACAAGAATAAACAAAGAAATCCGTAGATTGTAAAAACAACAACACATTGATATGCATCAGTTAGGCATTAATAATAAACAACCTAATGAAAGTTACATGTTTTAAGATAAATAGGTATTATTGTAAGGCGTTTGAAAAAATGAAATTTATTCAGAGAAAGTGTGTGTGTGTGTGTGTAGTCATAGATAATTCTCATTGAAAGCGCGCTTCAATGTAGGTAGAAACATAGAGCTTTCTATCGAATAAAGGTAGATATCAGTTAGTGAGCCATTTGAATATCAGGGAGTATTGGATAGCTGTTCCCTCTTAGTTTGGAACTCTTCAGCAGTAGGCACCCGTCAGTGGGCTTCAAATCAATGACCCATGAATTCCAATTTCTACCAATTAGTGATTTTAAAGGGACTACCAACCAGTGTTATCGGCGAGAATTTGTCGTCACGCCTGACCTGATGAACCCCACTGGTCACGTCTTCTCACTATAAGTGACAACGACAAATACTCGCCGGTAATTCCATTATGGGTAAAATTTATTTTAATAAAGTCTCACAGTGTTATACAGTAATATTTACTGATGACGTTTCGAGCACAATTTATTGCTCATAATCATATCAACGTGCTCCAAACGTCATCAGTAAATATTACTGTATAACACTGTGAGACTTTATTAAAATAAATTTTACCCATAATGGAATTACCGGCGAGTATTTGTCGTCGTCACTTATAGTGAGAAGACGTGACCAGTGGGGTCCATCAGGTCAGGCGTGACGACAAATACTCGCCGATAACACTGGCTGGTAGTCCCTTTAAAATCACTAATTGGTAGAAGTTGGAATTCATGGGCCATTGAATGGAGTCTCATCGGTTGAATGATCTGAGAGCTTTCCTTGTAACTGGAGGGACATTGATTTGAAGCTCAATGACGGGTGCGTATTGCTGAAGAGTTCCAAATTAAGACGGAACAGCTCTATACATTACTCCCTGATATTCGAATGGTTCGCTAACTGATATCAGTCAGCGATCCAACTTGAGACAATTCAAATCCCTACAAACTAACTCTGGAAAAAAAGTAGATATCCCTATTGGTAGATCGGGAAATATTCCATACAGCGTAGAATATTTCATATCTTTGAGGCCGACCTTATCATAGGCATAATCGATAAAATGAAGTCAATAGGGGTGAACTGATCTGACAGTTTATGTCTGACCGGAAGACCTATGTAGTTCCATGTATAATTTCTATTTTGTTCAAGAGTAATCTCTGCTGGGTCGTTATCAGCAACTATGACACCTAAATATCATGAATTCACAAATTATCCACAATGGAAAACTCAAGGAAGTCTTTGAAGTGAAGACAGGAGTAACACAAGACTGCCTACTATCATCGATGGCCTTGTTAATTATGGTGGGCTGAATTATGCAGAAGACTGTGGGGATGGAGAAGACAAGAATACATTCAACCGATAAGAACACTCTACAAGAACTGGATTTCACGGTCGACTTATGTCTAGTGTCACATAAATTTGAAGACTTACAGACTGAGACCAACAAGTTGTCAGAAGAAGCAGAAAACACAGGAATTCAAGTGGACATACAGAAGACGGGGAGGTGATCAAGATAACCAACCAAAAACAACAACAACAAACACCATTCACTACAAACGGAGGAACTTTGATAAAGGTCACTTGCTTAACTTATCTGTGTAGGAAGCATCGTTTCAACTATAGGCGGACGGCGCCTATGTCAAAACCAGAATCGAAAATGCAAGGCAGACATTCATCACTCTGAAATCAGCTTGGAAATCTTTTGCTTTCAGCAAAAAAGAACGAAAAATCGGACTTTCTGCATCAATGCTAGGTAAGTTAGTGGCTCTGTATGTGGCAGAAACTTGGCAGGCACGTCACTAAAATCATTCCCAACAGGCTACTGTAAACTTTTATGGACAGCTTCCTTCGCTGGCCAGCCAGAAACAACTAGCAGCAAAAAACTACGTGAACAAACCAACCAAGAACTTATTTCTCAGCGAATATGACGAAGGAAATGGATGCAGATTGTACACACACACACATAAGCTGCGGAGGTACTTAAATGACTTCGCGTATCAGGCAGAGGACCCGAGTAGAACCCGAATGGGAAAAGACGAGATGGGCATATGTCCCGAGGGTGACATGCAGGAGATCGTGTAGGGCGGAGATGAAAACCTCTAAAGCAATCATGGAGCCACCTGGACAGAACTGCAGAGAAGAGGACAAAGTGGGGATGTTGAAGCCTTGTGTCCCACTCGGAACCAAAGGGAATAATAATAATACTGTCAGAGTTCAGCTAAATGATAATATATGACCGATATGATAACTGATTGAATTAAAACAAGTTCGTATTTATACAAAGAAAAGATAGAATCAGGATAGCATTCAATGCTGGGATGTTCGCCACGAAGCCACCTAGCCCAGAAAAGGGGGAAGGTTTGATGGGTGGAACTAGTAATCCCATCCCATAAAATTAACAATATCACTAGGGAAGCTTAGAGCTTCAAATTCTACGTTACATTCGGAATGTAAGGTATGGATATCATTCATATAAGCTACTGTCATCCGTATGAGAAACAACCAGTCAATGGATATATTAAGACCGTTGAAAATTTAACCGATGTTTTAATCAATGAATGCATTGTTGTCTATCTGCCTTTAATAATAATAAGTAATATAAGAAGAATATTACACAATAAACTTTAGTATTATTTTTGTAGGGCCAAGATTTTAATGCTGCTATAGTTATGTTCTCTGAGCTGAATGGTTTAACTTAAAAGGCCTCATTGTTCTTTTTCTAGACAACATCTTCAGCGCCGATTTCAAAATCAAGTGAGATTTTGAAATTTTCCATTGATATAACAACAACCCTCTTTTCTGATGCTCATTGATTATTACTAATTGTCTCCGCAGAGATTCTTATCGTTGCATTCATCTGAATTCGTGCTGATTGTTTTGTCAAACTGATATTTGACCTATTGATTAAACAAATCAAATTATTCTCTATTGTCTGATACATGTGATGTATGTCATCTATCACATGCAGTATGTGATCTGCCTGATACCATAATCAGGTAATCAACAAAGCAAGCATAAATGCATAGTGTCATACACTACTAATTGGTTCACAAGAATAGTTGGATGCCATCCATGTTAATCAGTAGTGCTTGCCAGCCAGATCGAGTTCAGGTGGCTGTCTAATCTGAGTCAAACAGCATACACCACACTGATGAGCTCAATCCCAAACGAGCAGGACAGCCATCCAGTGTTTATATAACTTCGATCTGACTAGCGAACACTACTCAGTGATTGATGTGAGTGGTATCCAACTATTCATCATATCAGTCAATCAATCAATATTATATAGCATCATTTGAGAAAACTTCATTCATTTTCAAGTTGGAACTGAATATGTTGTCTTGAAGGATGATGAAAGGTTTGCAGTTAAACCAGGCATAGTTCAGAGCTGAAAACATTCATCCGAGTCACAAATCTTCTTCATTATTTTGAAGTTAAAGACTTGAATTATGAGCTATCAATATATGACGAAAGTATCAAATCGTAGAGATAGACCAGATTAGAAAAAAGGCAAGACACTATGTGAAGCTAACTTTCAATGAGATGTCGAAATTAAACCAACATTTATTCGTTAACGAGGTAATCTGAGTAACACAGTGGGATTCGAACCATAAGGCCCAGAGATCTACCAGCTGAATTAAAGGAATTTCACTTTTGATCATTTAACCAAAGGACAATTACTGAAACCGAAATCATTCAAAAATAAATCCACACACACATCGAAGATTATTTATAACTTAATACAAGACAAAACAAACGCACACTGGAATAATGAATATTGAACAGCTGAAAATTTGAAGGAAATTTATCTATACACACAGAATTACTTACCATTCGTTGTTTCACTAGCTCGAACAAGAAATGTTCCACGAATATTTCCTTTTAATAATAGAAGACGTTCGGAATCTTTTCGCGATATACTTCGGAAATACCAACTAAAAATATAAATCGAAATTATATATATATATATATATATAAAGTGAAAAGACGTGTAAAATATACTATTGGTAATAGATTGGCTTAATTTACACTGAAATCCCCGGTAAGGTTACGCTATACCAGTGCATGGAAGACAAAGGCACGACTGATAGTGAGGCGATCAAAAACCAGTGTGTTCTTTTTACTATAGATATGACGTTTATTTACAAGAGAAATACAGAAAATAATGATAAAACACATTAAATAGGATTTCTTTCACTGACATGAATTAAAAATATCTCCCAATTACAGTGAGCAGTACAAGGTGATTTTGAGCGAATAAAATTGTTTTTGACAAATTCTTCCTCAGGCTCTACAGTGACATAGGTGGAACTCAGTGAAATTGATCTCTACACGTTCGTAAACATGTTCCTGTTTGGCATGGGAAAAGTGTTACCAAATCAATAAATAGTGCCATTTTGTCTCACTTAGTAGATAGTGAACACCACATCAAAATAGATGAGTCATTTACGGTTGTATATCGAGTGAGTACCAAACAATCTGCCTAAAGGCATACGATTACGTCTCTTAGCTATAGCGCAAGCTATAGAGATTAATAAGAGAAAACCTGACCTTTGTATGGGAAAGAAGCACATTCATCCTCTTTGTTTATCCTGGCCTACTATAAGGTAAGCAGGGACATAATTATCCATATTTTCATGTCATATTATACCTTCTTATTCCTTTTCACCTAGTTCACTTTACTCCACTACCTTTATTATGTAATTACTGCAATTATAAGTCAATTAGTTGATAGTGACTAGCTGTGAAATCCATGATAAAGCACATTTCGTCCTATGTGGGACTGGCTTGTCAGCTGGATGTACCTGCATTCCCCAGTGAGTGATGATAGTGTTCCCACTGAGGCTCGAACCCAGGGCCCATAGTTCCAAATGCCTAAGAGTTATCTACTAGACCACTTGGGTCAAGACAGCCATCTCTTATGCAACGGGTCTTATCAATTATTTAATTCCTTTTAGATTTTCCCATCGATGGATTGAACTGAAGTGCTAAGCTTAATTATGTCTGTAGTATTTTATTACAGTTCACAATTTAACCTCTTTATTTTATCAGTACACTTGATATCTGCCAGCTCTTGCCTAACTTGCACTCTTTGTTCCCCATTTTTATGGTATTCATTTGTATGTATTTTGTGGTAGTCATTTTCCTCTCACACCATTGAATATAACTCACCACACCGGACCCTACTCCCAATGAAACTTATATTCTCTTGACTATAAATACACTAGTATGTCGACCAATTATCTATTCACACTTTATCTTATGTTCTGAATGACTGAAAATTTTTATATGCATTATTCATTTGACAATATTAAATACCGAACTATCACTCCATATTATACATGTACCCGAATGCAGACAGTTTCCGATATAATTTTCACACGCCATTAATGGCTATCTGTATTATAATATTCATGGATTTATAACTGTAGAGTCTGAGGAAGAATTTGTCGAAAACAATTTTGTTTGCTCAATCTCGTCTTGTTCTGATTACACTACGGGGATTTTTAATTTACAATGAGCAGAATAAGTTTTCAAGCTAGACGAGGTCATTTTGTGACCCATTTGTCTCTCTTATCCTGTTTTCCAGTCTTCTGCAAAAGCCCTCGACTGAATAAGCATGAGTCTCAGTAAGAGGGGCGACAAAATTATCATCTGAATGATTCACCCGATGATGGATGAAACTCAGTCTTTAAAATCCAATCATGATAGATAGAAAGTATATTTGCCAACAACAGCTTCGAATTAGAAAAGACAATTCCCAGAAAGTAGTGAACTGACTATGTAACACTTATCTTTACGAAAACTAATTCATTTCCTACACTGTGTATAACCTAATACATATCCATCAGTTGCTTCTGAACTGTACCTCCGGATGCACATAGAGGTACCATAAGAACACTTAAGAGTGTGTGGTAACAACAACGTAACACAACCCATTATCTAGACAGTACTTAAAAATTAGATCTGGACGAAATTCGCACCGCAAATTCATAAATATCGTTCGACTAGTATGCATTCAAGATCCATTAGTGATTTCGCACTCCTGGATCAGTGTACATTAATTTTTCCTAAATCCCTTTCCTGACAACAACCCAATAGCTTTCTTAGTAATTATTACTTACATCCCATTGAGGTTTTGAACAAGTCAACAACTCAAAATATTTTGTGACGCTGTAATGCTAAAATATTCCACATAACATATTTATTGTATATTCTAAAACGCTTCACAAAATAATCTAAACAGCTAACAGAAGTACACAGACACATTAGATCCTTCAACAAATACACATTATTCAATCTACCAAGAATCTTAATACGAATCATTTTTAAAAAGCTTCAGGTGAACTGAAGTAAACTGATTATTAAAAAGTATCTGCTCCTTTTTTTCTTTTCTTGCCTTCTGAGTGGAACATAGGGCTTCAAGCCTTAAAGCGTGGCGTATGCTACTGATACGATTTACCAGTAGTATATATATGAACAAATACTCATTAGCATAAAAACACCAAATATCAGGGAGATAGAATTGATGTCAGAAAAAGTAAATGATACAGCATTGCAGACATACATAGGAGACGTGAAAGGAACACAAAGAAAGACAATATGAAGGAAGGTCAGAGGAGTGGTACAATATGGAAGATCTGTGAAAGTGGTGATTTGAAGATAAGGTGTACATCACTTCGGTATATGGAGATAACAAATTAACAGGTCTCTCATCTTCTACCGTTACGTCGGTACAGTAGCAGTTGTGTTGTTTTTATGCAGTGGGATCTCTAGTCTCGCGTTCATCCTTCTCTCTTTTCCAGCCCAAATAGCAGCTAGATATAGTTCAGGAGTGAGTCAAGTGGCAGTCGAACTCGAACGTCCTGAGAATCACTGGTGAGGATCCTACTATAGAACTAACTAGGAAAACACTATAGAAAAGTTTGAAAAATATAAGCATAGTGAATAAACAAACGTTTTTGTCTTCAAGATCAATCAATCAAATAAAGTGCTGAAGATATAGAATTAATTCCCAAGTATTGGTTTTGTGGGGATCGTGTTTGACTCGTTCGACGGTTTCATCATGAGCTGACATCAATTAGAAAACCATTGGAAAACCTGGGAGTACTGGACAGCTGTTTCTTCCTGTTTCGAACTCTTCACAGTACGAAACTAGACGAACCAGCTGTCCAGTACTCCCAGTTTTTCCAATAGTTCCCGAATTGATGTCAGCTCGTATTGATTTAAGTTAAAATTCTCTTGCTGATGAGTGTATAGACTACAAGTAAGTTGTTCAGTTTTTCAATCACCACTAGTTTTTTATTCACACTATCGAAGTAAAACAACAAGAGTCAATTTAAATGTACGAATAGTTCAGTTAACTAATGAAGGTAATTCCCATTGAAAATTGAGACTATCTCAATTAATTTAAAACATTACTGAAAATTTTAGTTTTACTTCGACAAAAGCTTAGTAGAGTATCAGTTTGCAGCGGTAAATAATTCCCGAAAATTATTTGGCTAAAGCATTATTCATTCAATATTTGGTACTGGCTTACAGTGTTCAAGTAAACTGATTAAACTTTAAGGTTCACGGTCATGCATCCCTCACACAGCACGCTGCGGTGTTACGTTCAGTCGTCTGTGTACTATCCCTAGCTACCTAAGGAAATCATTATCACACTACGATTCTGATCCCGACATATATTTTGAACAATCAGTTTGGTGTTTTGATTTGTCCTCAATCTAAGCAGAACCAGTACACTTTGTCAGCGATCCCCAAGGGACTCATGTCCATTCTGAGAGTCAAACTCCGGTCATCCAGTAATCTAGTCAGAGATGCTACTACTGAGCTACTCGGGCTGATGATTGATCTCCTGTAGGACTATACTGGATACTTTAGTTACTATACACTGACAAATCAATGTCATGCGTCTACTTCTTGATTTACTGCAGACTGCATACTACCTGTCATAGTATCCATTCAAGTACTACAGGAGGTCAATCGTTTGCCTAGATAGCTTAGTGATAACATGTCTAACTGCAACAGCAAAGGATGACCCAGGTCCGAATCTCAGACGGGACATGAGTTTCTTGAAGATTACAGATACACCTTTCTGACGGGTGCCCACAAGCACGAAACCTAGGTTAGCCAGCCAGGGCTTCCTGCTGATTGCCACCAACTATTTAAGAAAAATGCAGAGTGGATAATGATGGCAACCTATCTAGCCACAATACAGGCTTGATTGAATAGAATTCAATCTACTCTAACACCAGGAACTAGGACATATGAATCAGCGACTACTTAGTGTGTCCAATCAAAGACTAGAATTTAACATCAACATCAAAAATGTTAAAATTCAAATAAAACTAATATTTAGCCTTTGAAATATCAGTAAAAAGAGTGAGGAAATACAATCGACAAGGTTACTAAATTTGGAAGTAACTTAAAGTGTCTACCTTTAAGAAAGAGTCATAGACAAAGAAAAAAGAAAGAATGCAAAGTAAGTAAGACAAGTACGTCATAACAAACCACATCATTTTTCATTTTTATTATTTTTAATTATTGAAAACAAGTAAAAATGTATAAATCACTCTAGGTACGAAAAGGGGAAACAAACAATGCAGACTCGAGAGAAAGAGGATTGGTTATTCATCTCTATTCCCCTGTTTGCAACAGTATTGGCATCAAAATGTCAGTGAATAGAGGCACACGCGCAGTTATACAAGCATGCTGACATGAAGAAAAAAAACAACTCTAAATTAATGTCGAAACACTTATTTATTATCATTCCTGCTTCATTTAGCTCACTCACCCATCTCACATTTTTTCCAAAAGATCAAGTAATATGATCATGAAAAAAAGGTAGAAAAGCATTGAAAAAACGCCATCAAAGATATAATTGCTTTTTGTTGTTGCTATTCACCTTCTTTCATGAACCTAACCAGTATCA